AGAAGAAGGAGAGCAAACATCTGCACCTCAATCAAATTATCAGAATTTGATTGAGAAATTTGATAGTCTTGAGACTCATTTTGATCAAAGATTTGATCAAATTGATGCTTAACTTCAGCAGCAGCAACAGAACATTGGTAGTATAAGAAATGAAGTTCATGAAATCAATACCAATGTTATGTTGATGACTTCCTACTTCAACTTATTTGGTGGCATTCCTCCTCCTCCTCCTGAAGAATAGAGATTTGAGTGATGATCTTCTAGATGTTTGTTGTATTAGTGTTTGTTTTAGTTGTGTTTGTTTGTGTTTGTTTTAAACTTTAGTGTATTTTTTTTTTTTTTTTTTGAAAGAAATGCACTAAAATTGCATTTAAGAGGAAACAAGTAATTACAATTAGTAAGAGGATCACATTCTTCCTTGATTAAACTAGACAACAAGGAAGGAATGAGATCAAAAGTATAACTATCAAAAAAGAAATTCTTCTCCAATGCTAAAGTAGCACAACAATTAGCTACCTTATTACATCTTCTATTAGCATGGAGAAAAACCACTTTATTAAAATCATTAAGAAAACACAGTTCTTTATTAGGCCAACTATCAACATACCGTTCACCCTTCTTCAATGAATCTTGAATGAATTTGATCACATTAACACTATCACTTTCAATGATTAATCCATTGCATTCTAGCATCCAGCTTTTTAGAAATTCCCTGACCGAGAACACAGCTTCAAGTTCCAATTGAGCAATATCCCAGTGAAATCCCGACTTTCCAAAAGCACTAATTAACCTGCCTTTATGATCTCTTTATACCCCTCCAACTGCAGCCAAATTTGATTTAAGCAAAGAAGCATCAACATTGATTTTGATCCATTCTTTTGGTGGAGGGAACCAAGTGCTTTGAGACTCCCTTGGGAGATTAGCACCCCAACAAGAAAGATGAGGACTGAAATTTGAAGTGGCTGTGAACAAAGAATTAGAAGCAACCACTGAACTTGGTAAAGCACACTTCCCATGCTTCACATTATTTCTATTCTTCCATGAATGGTAAACTATATTACAATAAATATGTGCAATTCCAGATTTTTCCTGAGCAATGCTTTTTAAACCCTGTAAACAACTGTCAAGTGAATTGTAAACCGGGATAGGAATGCCCCATTCAACCATTCTTGCTATAACATCAGTCATATACTTGCAATGCACCATTATATGTTCATAAGATTCACATTCATTGCAACCTCTCGGACATGAATAATCAGATGCAATATTACGATTCTTCAAAAAAAGATTAGTTGGAATGGCTGCCTTTCACGATCTCCACCAAAAAACTTCTACTTTCTTCTTAAGCCTCAATTTCTGTAACCAAGAAAAAAAATCCGTATCTTCCATATTAAATCTGTTAATGAGAATCTGCTCATACACCAAAGTTGAGACCGTCTTGCCTGAACATTTCTTCATCAATTCCAACTGGTCTTCACCTTCAAAATTGATATGAACTTGACTAATCAAATGGACCAAATCTGGGTGAAAAAAAATATGTAACTTCTTGTAGTCCCATAATCCGTTACTAAGAATAAAATGCTGTACATAAACTCCATCCAAAGCATTGCAATCAATGAATGTAGAATCCATGTGTCATTTAGGACATTAACCTTATCACCCTTCCCTATACTCCATCGAACAGACATCTTCAAGCATTTACCACCATCAACTAGAATTTTCCAAGCAGTTGAATTGATTTTTCTTTGAACTCCATTCATTACATCATTGCCATATCTTGCCGCCATAACATGATGCAATAGGGACTGTGGTTTCTGGATAAAGTTCCAAACCAATTTGTAACGAAGTGAGCCAATTCTGTCCAGTGGGGAATGTACTCCCAATCCTCCATAACATCTTGGTTTACAAATTTCTTTCCACGCCACATAGTGCATACCTTTACTTTCCTCCTTTTTATTCCAAAGAAAACTTCTACAAAGTTTATCTAAAAAAAAATAAAACATTCTTGGGTACCAAAGAATGAGTTACTAAAAAATTAGGCATAGATAACAAGGAGATGTCAATGAGAACCAACTTCCCACCCAAGGAGAGGGACTTCTTGCTCCAAGCATTGAGCTTGTCCGTCACATTGCACAGAATATCTTGAAAATCATCTATTTTAACTCTATTAAGAGTTATCTTGATCCCCAAATACTTTATATCTTTAACAATTTTAAAACCAAGAATTCTAGCAATCTTGTTTTTCATAGAATATTTAACAACCTTTCCAAACATCAATTGAGATTTGTTAACATTCACTTTTTGCCCAGTCCACCTGCAAAAGTCTTCCACAATATTCTTCAATTTCTTTGCTAATTCCAATTTGCATTAGAGATGATCAAAACATCATCTGCGTACAAAAGGTGGGTGACAACAGGACCCCTGGGAGAAATCTGAATACCAAGATTTTGTCCTCTTTGCATAATAGAATTTGATAAGAGTTGGGCACATAAGATGAAAAGGTATGGAGATAATGGGCATCCTTGACGGAACCCACTATGAGCATCAATCCAACTAGAATTCTTCCCATTGATGATAATGGAAAAACTAACATCTACCACACATTCCATAAGAAGTTTAGAAAAAACAATAGGAAAGCCATACCACTCAAGAACATACCAAAGAGAAGTCCAACTCATGCTATCATAAGCTTGCTCCATGTCATGTTTAATAGCCATCAATCCCTTCTTATTCTTTGAGATTTTGAATTTGTGAAACACCTCTTGGGCCAAAAGACAATGATCTGCAATAGATCTACCATGAACAAATTCCACCTGTTCTTCTGAAATCAACTTATAAATAATCTTCTTCAATCTATTAACCAACATTGTAGCCACAATCTTGTAGTTGGTTTGACATAGGCTAATCGGCCTATAATTTGATGGAGTCAAAGGACTTTTAATTTTAGGAATCAAAACAATCAACGTCTTCTTCCACTCCTTATACATATGATAGGAATTAAAAAAAACTATTTACAACCTTCCAAAGAGTCTCACCTACTATGCTCCAATAGCTTTTGTAGAATGAGTAAGTAAGCCCATCTAATCCAGGAGATTTGTTGTTGCCTTGCTGAAAAACAGAATTTTGAAGCTCCAAAACCGAAAATTTTGCACTGAGAAACGTAATATCTTCCTCAGAAATTTTCTGAGAATCAAAAACTGCAGGCCAATCCGAGGTAATGCATTCCCTGTTTTTCCATTTTTTCCCAAAAAACTGGTAAAAACTCTTTCAATTTGATCATCTTCATCGTGTACATTGTTTAGATCATCTCTGATTTGATTTATTCTGTACCCTTTTCTTCTTGCCGTGCATAACCATGAAAAAAATTGGAATTAGTATCACCTTCTTCATGCCATCTCACCTTAGCCCTTTGATTCCACCAAGTGGATAACCTCTTCAAAGTGACATTAAGTTCATGTACTTTACTTATTAAAGCCATCAAGTCATCACCCGACCAATTTACTCCCAGTGCCTCTTTGTTTTGAAGTTCCATTATTTCTTGTTTCAACTTTTCCTTCAGCGCATTTAAATCCCTGCAATTGTTCTTATTCCAAAAGAATAGAGCTTTAAGAGTGCGACTGCGCTTTCTTTGCAGGATCACAGCTTCATCACCCGAGTCTTTCTTGTTCCAAGAGTGAAAAACAATACTCTTGGATGCTGGATAGGACCTCCAAGTATCTTCAAATCTGATATTCTTTGAATTGAACTATACCTTTTCATCCATTTTGAGAACAATTAGACAATGGTCCGATGCCAATCTCATTAGATGTTTAGTAACTGCCACCAGAATTTTCTAAATAGCAATAGAATTAGCCAAACATTTGTTTAATCTCTCCCAAATATGAGAGTTCCCCTCCTTGTTGTTGCACCAGGTGAAACTATGTCCCACAAATCCTATATCGTGAAAATCAGCATTCATCATGAACCCTTTCATCTCCCTAGGACCCTTAGAGAATAAGAATCTCTTTCCTCCTCTCTTATCTACTTTGTTGATAATACAATTGAAATCTCCTCCTATAATAGAAGGAATGTCATGTATCAAATGCTTTTCCAATTGTTTCCAAAGTTCAGTCCTCTCCTTGCAACATCTACTACCATACACACTAGCAATTCTCCAAGTTCCTAGAGAAGGAACTAAAAGATTGCCAATAACCACGTGAGAACTGGCTTCCAAAACATTAAAAGACAACAACTTTCTATTCCATAAAACAAGAATGCCACCAGAAATACCAACAACAGGATAATGAAAGAACTCCCACTCACCACCAATAAGATAATCAATCTCCTTTCTATTAATGCTAGATAACTTTGTCTCCATAATTCCAACAAAGAAAACACCATGTTCCTTAACAACTTCTTTTAAATACAAGGAAGCCTCCCTTTTTTTAGCTCCCCTGCAATTCCAAAATAAAATGGAAGACATTTCAAAAAAGTAAAGAAGATCTCCCCCCACTGTTGGGATTTGACCTTCCAACTTTTTTCTTCTTCTTGTGATCAATTTCAACCGGTCCTAAGGATCTCAATTCCTTAGCTAACTTGACGTTGACCAAATTAGTTTGAGAGCCCAAAGCATTACACTTTTCTTCAACAGCTGTAACAACACCATTTTCATCTACGGCTACATCTTCTTCAGCAATAACCTCTTTATTTTTATCCGCAGCTTTCTCAGACAATGCATCAAATCTGTTGTTTGTGGTTGTCTCACACTTCTCAGCAACCGCAATAGAAAACACCATATTAATAGGAGATTGCACTGGAGTCTTCTTAGCTAATTCTGTAAGATCTTTAATCTTATTCCTTCCCTTCTCATTCTCATTTGTAATGGTTTCAACTGAAACCACCTGATGATTGCTGGTATCTCTAATCTCCTCAGTATTTCCTTTCACATTTCCTCCTTTTCCTACCATCACATTCCTCCTGAATCTTCTATTTTTGAATTGGACTTGAATCCAAGGTCCATATTAAGTATTTGTTATTGAATTATTCCCTACAGCGTCTGGCTTCAAGTTTTCACCTGTAGCTTTGTCGTTAGATTGATCCTGGATACCAATCTTCACATTATCTGGACATATTTTGGACTCATGCCCCACTTTACCGCATTGGTAGCAAAGTAAATCAACTTTTTCATACTCCACCCTTTGAAAAAATCTTCCAGCACTTCCTTCCACCCAAACTCCATTTGGCAATTTCTTCTCCAAGTCAATCTTGACGCAAACACGGGCAAATTCCCGCTTACTCCTGCGAAACGTGTTACCATCAAGGTATAATGGTGATCCAAGACACGAAGCAATTCTAGCAATACTATCTTCATCCCAGCAATACAGAGGTAAGTACGATAATCTGATCCAAATTGGAGCTGAAATCCCCTTATAAGATTTCGGATCGAACTCAGGCGTCCACTTGTCCATCCCCATAATGCACCCATTCACATACCATGGTCCTCTGCTCAAAATTTCATCCACCACCTTGCTCGACTTGAATGAACACAGAATCCAGTTCATCCCTAATGACGTCAAGTGGAAATTACCATATTTGCTCCATTGTCTCCTTAATTCAACACTACTCGCCGGAAATGTCACATTATTCCCCAGCACTTGATCACAATGGAATTTTTCAGAACTCTTGAATTCTCTGCCTCCTTAACAGCATTTAATATGACAGCAACTCCATCTTCAGAGAAATCAATTTGTTCTTTGTTGAATGAAATTTTAATAGGCTTGATTTTCATCCAAGCATCAGATACTTCCCCGATGACATTACGATCAGAGTAATCACCATTCTTATTAGTAAGATTAACATCATTCAACTGAATCTTAGAGCGAGCCGCCAAATTATCATTCTTCTGTCCTCCTCCAGGGTTTATTTCGTTTTCAAAAGTCCGTCCACCAAGCGAGCCAAAAACTCCAGAATAACTCTTCACCCTCAAACTGATATTATTTAAAGCTGAGAAATCAGATTTACGAAGGTCTGGAATACACATAAAATCACCTTCTTTTTGGACATTGCAAACATCTTCTATAACTTTCTTCCCCTTACCTTCAACAAATTCTTGACGACGCATCGGCGCGAGTCCTTCTCTAATTACAACACCAAGCGATCCTTTGCGAATGACTCTTGGAGAACTAGATGGCCGTAGATCAGCCATAACCACCTGTAATCACCCGCCGACGTTCATCCGATGATCGATCGAAGCCAGGAATCCAGTCACGGAAAGCCCGCGAAAATCGAATTCGAAACACAGAGGTTTCTCTCTTAGTGTATTTTCTTTAGTATTGATGTTATGAAATGATTTTGTAATCTTTTTCATTAATATCAATATATGTTGTAGTTGCTTTAAATTTGGATTGTTTTTAAAATGTGTTTAGTTTTTATGAATTTCATTAGTCTTTTTAATCTTAATTGTGCTTAAACTAGATTGTAATTTGAGATTAATTTCATTAGAAAATCTAGTATTTCTAAATTTAAAATTTGTTTATAACTTGTTATAATTAGAATTTTTAATTTCATGTCTATTCATTTAGACTACATAAAAATTAATATTATTATTGCAATTTGGATGCTTTTTTATTTTGTATTTCTTTGCTCAAGTGATATTTATGCACTTAGAAAAATCAGAGGGTGCCTCTTGGGAGTGGATGTAGGTCTGGTTTAGACCGAACCACTATAAATCTGGTGTCATTTACTTTACTATTTTTATTTTTTCGCATTTTATTTTTGTTTTAAAAACTCTGTGGTTGAAAAACGTTTTCTATAAAAAACTTAATAAAAATTTTCATTTCGGTTCAACACATTTTCATAGAGGTTTTAAATTTTTAAAATACCAATTCATCCCCCCTCTTGGTAGCCTTGGGACATTAACTTAGATCTAACAACCTATTTACTAAACGTTTTCTATAAAAAACTTAATAAAAATTTTCATTTCGGTTCAACACATTTTCATAGAGGTTTTAAATTTTTAAAATACCAATTCATCCCCCCTCTTGGTAGCCTTGGGACATTAACTTAGATCTAACAACCTATTTACTAGACTCAACAAATCTTGGTCTAATGAAACTAACCTCATGAAGATCACTCCTAGCAAAGAATGAACTCATTTCTCTAGCCCCTTGAGAGAATTGAAATGGTCTTCCTCCTCTCTTGTCTTCCTTAGCCAAAACACAATTGAAATCTCCTCCCAATATAAGAGGATTACTATTAGATCCGAATTCTTTTAGCTTCTCCCAAATGAGACTTCTATGAACTGAATCTCTACCACCATAAGCTGTAGCTACTCTCCATATCCCTTTCTCCATAATTTCCAGGTCCCCTATGACAACTTGATTAGATGAAGATAAAAAATCAAATGCAGCTAACTTATACTTTCATAATATAATTATCCCCCCGAATAACCTAACAGTAGGAACTTGAAAAAACTCCCATTCTTTTCCAATTAAGTTTTTAATTTCAAATTTGTTGAAATTTGAGACTTTTGTTTCTAAAAGTCCCACAAAGAACACCTTATAGTCCTTCACCACCTCCTTTAAGTATGGAGAAGCTTGCTTCTTTCTAGCTCCTCTACAATTACAAAATAAGATAGATGCCATTATGGAATAAAAGGGGAAGAGATCCCTTTCTTATCCCTCACCTCAATCTCCAGTTTCCTTCCCCTTGGGAAAAGCTTTATTGGACCGAGACTTCTTAGCTCCTTAGCTAGCTTAATCATTTTTTATAAGGTGATGTCATTTGGTCTTAAAAATGTCAGTGCAACATACCATTGGGCCATGACTCAAATCTTTGATGAATTAATCTACAATCAAGTCGAATGCTACATCGACATTTTAATTTTCAAGAGCAAAGTCAAAGAGGCCCATCTTTATGACCTAAGAATCATCTTCAAGCAGTTGTGCCACTATGAACTTAAGATGAGTCCCTTGAAATGCACTTTTAGCATCATATCAAGAAAATTTCTTTGTTTTAGAGCCAAGCTCGACATAATTGAAATTGATCCTACCAAAGTTGAAGCTATCTTAGATATGGCGCCTTCTAAGAGCCATACTAAACTAAGTTCTCTTATGGAAAATTGTTGTATATAAGAAGATTCATTTTTAACCTCTCTAAAAGATGTCAACTTTTCTCCGACTTGGCTAAAAAGGATGTAAAATTCATATGGGATGAGAAATACCAATCTTCTTTAAAAAATTTTAACTAATAACTCTAAAATTCACCTAATTTTGTACCCCCTATTTTAGGAAAAACTTTAATCGTTTACACTTTTTCCCTTGACGGTGTCTCAATGCCTTACTAGCTCAAGTCAACGATAAAGGGAAAGAGAATTCTCTCTACTACCTGAGTCAAAAACTTCTTGCTATAGAAATTTGGTACACTTCAATCAAGAAGCATTATCTTGCTTTAGTTTTTCCAACCCAATAACTAAGGCATTATATTCTATCTCCAGGTAAACTAGATTTCCATTGTTAATCACATGCAATAACTTATGACACTTCCTACATTGTCAGGATATTTAACACGGTGGTCTATGATATTGCATCAGTTTGAAATCATTTATATTTTTCTACTTGCTATGAAAGGACATGTTGATGTTAATATCCTTAATACACATCAGAAACCAACAAATTCTCTTCTAAATAAAGATTTACTATACAAGCAAATCACAAGTTTCAAGAAATATAATAATCAATTCTAAAAAATACATTTTGATGGTGCAATGTAATCCTGGCTAAGTAATGCACACCAATCTACTATTCTAGAAAAGGTTGGAATTAGCATAGTTTTTATAACACCGGATAAAGGAATGATGCACTTTTCCTACCATTTATTAGATCATTGCATGAACAATGAGGCTGATTACAAAACTCTAATAACAGACCTGGAATTTGGAATCTTGATGAAGATTAAAGGGATTAAGATCCTTGGTAACTCTCAACTGGTTATCAACCTTATTGCATGAACCTATAAGATTTTGAATCCTAAACTCCTTAAGTACCACTAGTACACCAGCACACCAATCATTTTCATGAGTAGATTTATATCATAACTTTGAATAGGATTCCCCATGGAATAAATTATTTGATGGATGGCCTAGTAAAATTTACATAGGAATTTGCCTTTCCATAAGAAGATTCCATTCTTATGGAGGTTCATGGTCATCAAATCCTTTCTATTTTAGATTTGGAGCGCATCAAAACAAAAATTTCCATGGTCCTCTAAGCTTATTTAAAAATTGATGAAGAGGCAAATGAAGAAAACTGCTAATCAATTATTTTAAATAAATCAAGAACCCGTACGATAGGTCACTTGGAAATAAAATCAAGATATGTGATCTAACATATGAACTAGTGAATAATATATTGTACCATCAACTGTTTGATCAAATGTGGCTATGTTATCTAAACAAATAAGAGGCCTTGAAGATTGTTAATAATGTTAATACAAGACTATGTGGTCCTCACCAATCGTGTTCTAAGATGAAATTAAAAATTAGAGGACTTGGTCACTACTAGCGTACAAAAATGAAAGATTACATGAATGTTGCAAAATGTTGTAATCAATACAATGTTCATTGTGTACTTTTACATTAACTGCCTAATATATTGCTTCCTACGATAAGCTTCATGGGCCATTAAGAGATTGGTCATAGATCTTATCAAGCTGATTAACTCTCCCTCTCAAAGAGGTCATTGCCTTAATTTAGCCGTAACTAACTACTTTTCAAAGTGAGTGGAAGCAATTCCCTTACATAATATAACATAACACCATGTTATGAAGTTCTATCATAAGCATATCGTATATCAATATGATGTGCTCCGCATAATCTTATTTAATAATGGGTCTACTTTTAAGTCTAAAAAAATTAATAATTTTATAAGTCACCATAGTATTAATTGGAGATAATCCATAATCTATTACCCATGGGATAATGGGTTGGCTATCAAAAAGATGTTAGATGATAAAAAATGTTAGTGGTATGAGAGGTAGGTGGAAGCTTTATAGGCCTATCATACGACATGCAAAAGCCCAACCAAATCCACTCTATTTTCCCTTATGTCTGGGTCCGAGGTTGTACTCCCTTTCAAAATAACACAAAATTGCCTGTAAATGGGAATTTCCTAAAGAAATACTATGCTTGATGTAGCACTAATATCAAATCAATAAAAAATTCTTCAAGTTATGAATCAAGTTGAATTAGTTTAATTTAATTTTCAAGTTTCAAATTCTAGTTTTCTTTTCCTTAACATTTGATTTTAGTCATTGTGCTTTCTTTTGATAGGATTAGGTCTAGTGATAGAGTACACCCTCTTTGGCAACATCCTAGCTTCAAATTTAAAAATCTAATGTTTTGTGGGAAATAATTCCTTCCCACATGATTATCCAATTTTATTCTATTTAGGATACATGTAAGTCATTATACATACTTTCCTTAGGATTAGAGGTTCTAGTGAAGGAGCATGCCCTTTATGACACCATGTTATCTTCAAATTTCAAATAAGATCCTTTATGGGAA